TTTGCTTGGCGAAGTAATAATATATATTAATGCTTGCGGTACATTAGATAGTTCTGAAAAGAACTGTAGCTGTTGGTTGAGAATATCTCGACGTTTCGATTGAATTGCTTCAATCGTCTTCAGGAGAATAATATATCTATTTATTTATTTTTTATTCTCCTGAAGACGATTCAAGCAATTGAGATATTCTCAATCAACATTATTGGAAATGAATGAGGCATTAGTACCATCGATCCAGGCTCTCACAAGGTTTGGGTTTTGAATAAGGTGCACTCAATTAGAATTTTGTGTGGTGACGCGTCTAGGGTCTATTCGTGATAATGAGGTTACATGCACATCTACAAGTGTGCAGTCATTATCATTTCAGCATCAAAAGAAGACGAGAATATTTTGGATATCGAGGCGTGTGGTAGATGTGTTCTGAAATTGGAAGAGCAATATAGAGAAAAGCAAGAAGATAATAATTTACAAGAAACAATAATGAAGGTAACACTCAATAAAACAGTACACAAAATAATGAGCTATTTAACAACCAAAATAATTTTATATTTGAATATTTGTGATATATAATTTAATTGAAAATTATAACAAAAAAATATTGTCTTCCTCAATTAATAGACGCTGCCTCATGATTTCTTTGTATTTCATATTATTTGATTTATGTGTGCAAATTGTGTAATTCCTAAAGGAAGACGAGTTCATAATCTTCATTATTATATTTTTCAGTTGAAAGAGCAATTAGAACTATGGAATACCACTTGGAATAAATATGCAAAAATGGATAAATCACGATGGTGAGTACGACTAACGTCACTGTGGTAAGTTTATCATTGTGGTGTTAACCGTCACAACTAATAAATAATGATTGTGTGCATGCTTCTTCTAATCATATTTTTTTTCTATTACAGTCAATCGAGTGAAATAGTTGAAATACACAAGGAAATGTTGAAACGTATAGATGAAGTATCTTATTATAAGTAAGTACAATTGAATGAATCAATGGATGGTATCTCATTAACGTGACGTCATTATACATGTTGTGCTTCTTTGAAAGTTCTCACCCAACAATGATTGACTTGCCAATTCATATGATAGAAATGATGCTCTATAAATTGAACTTCACTCTAGCCATCGGCGGATCCGAAAATCCAAAATCAACGAGTCCCAGAGAGATGAACCACAAAACGTTGTGGTTTTGACATCTCCGCGAATGATTTAAAATAGGCCTATGAATGTAATTTTCTTTTTCTCCAAACTAGGCCTATCATTTTAAATAGCCTAATAAATAGATAAAAAGATTTGTTTTATATTTAAAAGAAATCAGTGGGGCGGGCCAGCTGGACCATTGCATCGATTTCTGCTTGAAAACATGAGCCAAAAAGCAGTACAACACACGCCTATTCCCATTATATCTAATTAACTAGCAACATTTGAAATGGTTCACATTGGAAATTGGCGTAGGCGTGCATTGCTTGTGTGTGTACGTAATGATCTAAATTACTCTTGTGTGAAACAAACCTCCATGTGTGAACACTAACAGCTTCATAATGGGGATTACAGGTAGTGAGAAAAAAAACACATTTTGTTTGCAAGAATTGAACATAAAGGGGCGAGCACCTTAACCACCAAGTTGCGCTCTCTTTTAAAAATATGCTTAACATTGTTTACTTTACTTTTACGTTGAATTCGTAGGCATGAGCTAATAATCAATTGGCGAGACGACAGCGGTATAATAACACGGCAAACTTATGATGACATCATGAGCATGTGTGACAAGATTATCGAGAGGGAAAAATCACTGGAGAAGGACACTGAGGAAAAGAAAGACACTCAAGATGTCAAGAAAATGAAGAAATCCCGTTGCTGCGCCTGCTTTCGTCACTGCCTCCGGTGGTTCTGGTGTTGTGGAGCGAAGGATGAAAACGACAAGGACGAAACAGAATACAAAATAGATGGAACTGAGCAGGACGTTGCGCAGGCCGTTACGCAGATAGAAACACAAATTTCCTAATACAGCAGTCTTAATTTGTAAAGAAATGATTAATACTGTAGTTGTCATATTAAGGGTCATTATATGCAATGTCAAAGTATTGGTCCTTTATCTTCACAGTCCGTGTCTTCATCGGTATAATTGGTATTAGGAAACATAAGCTTCTAAATATAATCTACACGCCAATGTCTAAGAATTGATTAATAGTTGTCATATTTAAGGGTCATTATAATTATGTAATGTCAAAGTATTGGTCCTTTATCATCACAGTCCGTGTCTTCATCACAATTGGTATTAGGAAACAGGAGCTTCTAAATATAATCTACATGCCAATGTCTAAGCTATTATTTGCTGTATATTTGAATTATAGAAATGTTAAATAATTGTGCAAATTCAGTGCAATATTATATGTGTAGTGGATATAATATAAAGTCAAACCATCTAC